ATTTTTCTCCCAGGCTGTGTAGTTTATCTTTTCATTTTCTTCCTTGGGTCTTTCATGGAGTAAATGTTTTACATTTCAATGTTCAGTTTACTAGTTTGTTCTTTGAATGACTATGCTCTTGTGACCAAGTCTAAAAATTCTTTGCTACATTAGATTCTGTTTTATTATTCTCTTAGCATCCATTTTATGTTTTAAGGTGCCAAGTTTAAGCAGAGGTTCATAGTTTTGCATGATCCAGCACCACCTGTTAAAAGACTCTTTTCTCCTTTGGTCCCTTTGTCACAATTAGAGTATTTACGTAGGGCTATTTCTGTTGTCTATTTTATTCCATTGATGAGTCTGCCCCTAGCCCCACCAGTATTAAATAGTCTTAATTAGTGTAATTTTTTTTTTTTTTTTTTGGTTTTTCTCCGGTACCGGGAACCGAACTCACGACCTTGCGCTTGCCAGGCAGGCGCTTTTTGCCGCTGAGCTAAATCCCCAGCCCCCCTTTTTTTTCTTTTTGAGACAGGGTCTTGCTGTGCAGTTCAGGCTGGCCTTGAGCTCACTTTGCAGTCCAGGCTGGTCTCAAATTTGCAAGGATCCTCCTGCCTCAGCCTCCCAAGGGCTGGGATTATAGATGTGTGCCACCACGCCTGGTCTGGTTAGTGTAGTCTTGATGTTAGATAGAATAACCACTTCTCTGGCTTTTTTGTTTCAAAAATATTTTAAAATTTATTTTTATTAATACATAGTTGCCATATACAATAATCACGTTTATCACTGGGAATTGTATGCATGCCTTAATTCTTTTTTGCATTCCCCTCCCCATCTGCAAAAGCTTCGTTTTCATTCTTTTCTAAAATCCTTTTTCCTTCCTTTCCTTTCCTGACCCTTTCCCCCTCCATTGTTCTTCCTATTTGACTATGTTCTTCACTCTTCCCAATATTTATCTCTATTTTGCTCCTCCTTTACCTTTTGGATTTTTCACACAAGAAACAATGTGGTGTTTAAACTTGTGTCTGATTTAACTCACGTAACGTGGTCTTGAGGTGCATTTAGTTACCTAAAAATGACTTATCTTCCCGCATGGAAGAGTAGTACTCCACTGTATATAAATACGTTTTCTTTATTCATTCATCTATTGATGGGCACATGGGCTGTTTCCAAGAATCAGCTATTATAATTGTGCAGGTATAGAGAATGGAAGGAAAGAAATAGAAACAGAGCTTTTGTAAATGGGAGGGCAAGAAGGGTTGGAGGGAGGTGGGAGAACAGGAAGAAAGGAATTATTATTGATTTTTGAGTGTTAACTTTGTATCTTGCTATGCTAACTTTGGTTTTATTTTTCTAAATTGTTTTAGCTACTCCTGTTCTTTGTTTTCCCAGGTAAGTTTCAGAATTATCTATAGCTACAAAAATAATCTTACTGGGATTTGGTAGAAATTGCTGCCAAGCAACTCAACTCAGCCCAATCACTCCGTGAACTGGGATCCACACTAAACTAGTGGCTTTGCTTCAGGCAGTGGTGTTGGGAGCAGAATTTCCAATGGACTAGCTATAACTTTTCAGGTAAGACTGAGATACTGGCAGGGCCAGGCTACCTGGATTCTCAGTTCTGTTGTTTCTACTTGACTAGCAAGGCCTGTTGGACTCTTTCCAATTTATTTGATTCTTTAATTTGAATAGAGCCATCCCAGCATCAAGATGTCAGGCCAGCTGTATGGGCCAGTTTCAAGAGCTTAGTAGTAGCTAAGAGTCTGCTTTTTTTTTGGACCGGGAATCAAACTCAGGACCTTGTGCTTGCCAGGCAGGCACTTGTGCTGCTTGTCCTAGCCCATAGCTGCCGTTCTGTAAAGTGGTTGTACATGGTAGCTACGGCAGGCAAGTGACGCTGTTGTCTGCTCCAAGGCCTGAGAGCTCTGGTTCTGCCATGAAGTCTTTATAAGTGGTGATTTCCCTTTTCCCTCTTGGACTATTATTTTTGCCAGGGAGAGGACAAAGAGCTGTTGAGGAGCAACTTACCTGCCCCAGTATCACTCTTCTCCATATGGCCTGTCCTGAAATGGAGGATCCCACAGAAAATGGTACAGGTTAAGTGTGCAATTGCACTACACATTCAGACATGGAAGCCACATTCTGTGGAATGACCCAAACGACTGCCCCCACAGGCCTCTTTAGCTTCCTTTTCCCACCTGGGAGCATGTCCAAGACCAATTTCCATGACAGGAACATCCTGAGGGGCTGAGGATGTGTGTGAGCTACATGCGGCAGGAGTCACAGATGCCAGATTGGTGCACATCGTCCCCCAACCAGGGGGCTGGGGCGCCCAGGGTAACAGGAGAGGCTAGCTGTGAAGCAGCTCCCCAGCTTGTTTTTCCTTGTGGCCCTGGCTCCAGGTGAAGGCCTGAATGCTTGACACCTTTCAGCATCCAGAGAAGCAAGGCACCAGGGCTTCCTTCTCCCCGGACCAATGCTGCATCTTCACCAATCTTGGCATCTTGTCACTCCCGCACCGGGCACCCTGCTCTCACTGCTGGACAAGACAGCTGTAGAAGGGGCCAGAGCCACGTCTGCTGTCTGCGCTGCACTTCTAGGTAGAGCTCTGCAGTCGCTTTTGCCTCTGAATAGGGCGGCAACTGCCTCAGCTCAACCAAAAGATCTCAGGTCTTCAGCCCACCCAAAACTCAAGGTTAGTATTTTGGGTCCAGTTGGTTTATACTTAGGGATTCGCTGACTCAGCAGTCACAGACCCATGGCTTTTCAGCCAGCCAGAGAACTGCTGTCCTAACAGTATCCCCTCCACCGCCCACCTGGTGGGGTCACAATCAAGGCGCCACTGGGACAGTTTCAGTCCTACCTGTAGCTGCCAAGCCTCTGCATTATTAGCTCAACCCTTCCCTATGAGCTCAACCCTTGGTCATTAACAGGTAGGAGAGTGGGAACTCTTTAGTCTCTGCCAGCCCTTACTCAATACCTATGGCTTCTGTGAGAGCCTTCGCTACCAGTTTCTTGGAAGCCTTACATTTCCATGGCTCATAGTTTTGTTTTTTTTTTCTTCTCCTCCAGATAATCATGCCAGCATTGCATCCTTGACACCAAAACTCTTGAGCCTGGGACTCTATTTTACCCTATTAGTGCACCAGTTAAGTTAGCCTGTTACAGTCTTATCCTCGCTGACAAAGACATGAGGCTTCTGGGTTAGAGGCAAGGGACTTTCTCAGCCATGGCACAATGTGCAGAAGACACGTCAGCACACCTGCGTCAGCTCCCCATGGTAACCAAAAGGGCCGGATGGATACCGGGCACCGTGGCTTTGTGTTGTACCAAGGATACTGAGCTGTATTAGCAAGCAGATACGTCTGTTCCCTGTCCTCCAAGTTTCCAGGTACATATGCTCCAAAAGACGGCCCTGGCAAAACTGTTGTCTGGGACCTGTGGTCTAGGCACACCCAGCCGAATGGGTAGGTGCCAAGAGGCCCAAGAAGACTGACAACAATTATCCTTTTCTATGTTGCTGTCACTCTTTCATGTGTTTATCGCTTAACCTGTCCATACACTGATACCTCACACAAGATAGGCCGTGACTTAAATATCTGATGAACAAGGGGCTAAGAGATGACAGCCTCATCAGGAACACTGTCCTATCAACAGTTTCAAGGACCAAAGAAGAATAATTACTTCAAAGGTTTGGCCCCCACTCCATGTCAGGTACTTGCCAACTGTAAGTGGAACGGAGGAGAGCTACCCAAGTTTATCTGGTCCATCTTTCTTTACAAATTCGATTGTCAGTTCCTAAAATAAGACTGTCACAAAATACAATGTTTCTAGAAAGACATCTATATTCTGACGGGAAAGTGACAAGGATACAGTACAGCGCTGATCCAGTGATCACACCTTTGACACAGGGCTAAGATGAAATTACTCCTCAGTCTAAGAATCAAGCATATGACAGTTTTTTTTTTTTTTTTTTGATGGAATTATTTCACCCTTAAAACAACCCTAAAATTTGTTTTGACTTAATATTTAGATTCCAAGGTTTTACTCCTTTGAGTCACACTGTCTTAAAAACAGACCAAACTTTAAGCCTGGTGTGATGGTGCATGCCTGTAATCCCAGCAGTCAGGAGGCTGAGGTGGCAGGATCACTGTGAGTTTGAGGCCCGCTCAGGCTACAAAGTGAGCTCCAGGCCAGCCTGAACTGCATTTGCATAGTGAGACCCTATCTCAAAAAAAAAAAGAAGACCAAACTTTAGCAAGTCCTATATTATAATTCAAAACAGGTTAAGTTCAGATAGCCAGGACTAGAAATGAATAAACATGAGATCAGTGGCTCCCATAAACAGCATTTAAGGGACAATTCAGCATACTTCCGTTTCAGATCCACCAAATGAAAGCATAAATAAAGCATGACTTTAAGGGATTGTTATAGGCAGACCCCAGCTGGTGGCCTGGAATATACCTTATGTTCACTGAAACCCAGACACCAAGGGTTGTTTTGGTAACTCATAAGGGAAGGAACAACAAAGTGGTGGAGAAGGCAGGGCTTTTTATTCACATAGCATGAGTGTTTTTTTCCTAAGCAGTTTCATAAAATGTAGCTGAAGGTTCTCTATTTTCTGTGTGCTTCCAGTAGAGATTTCAAAGAAAAAACTGTAACATAGCTACAGTGATAAAAATAAAATGAGCATTCAAATAAAGTTTTTTTTTTTTTTTTTGGTTTTTCTCCGGTACCGGGAACCGAACTCACGACCTTGTGCTTGCCAGGCAGGCGCTTTTGCCGCTGAGCTAAATCCCCAGCCCTCAAATAAAGTTTTAATGCACTGTCATGCAGTGTTGCCAGATTTATTTTTGGAGGTAAAAAATGCTTAGTCAGTGGGCTACTGTAAAAAATACTAGGCACTGATCAATTATACATTAGAACCAAAATCCTAACACACTGGAGGGAATTTAATCTGGAGAAAATTTAGCTTCCTGACTTCCTCAAAACAAAGTCTATAATGTAATGAGACAAAATGGAAGTAGTTTAAGTAATAAATGTTTAATCAAAGAACTTTACATATTATTAACAGCATTCATTTGGCCAAACATCTACACGTTCGTAGAATCCTACTGTATATAAAGTGGGAATGTATCAAGTATAGACTATGAAAGTGCAAATAACAAGTCAAGGTTCGAGTAACTTTTTTTTTTTAACATTATAAAATTAACTTGTTTACAAAATAGGCTTTGCCAAACTTTATTACTGAATTGTAAAGTCAACGACCGTGTTGTTTTTAAAATATGTACCAAGGAAATACAAACTGGATAATGATCAGTTTTCATGCTCAGGAGAGACCGCACAGAAACAAAGGGAACTGCACAAGGTGCAAGGAAACCAGAACCTGCCGCCAATGCTATCGTCACACAGAGCGCTCCTTTTCAGCTAGCTGCACCGTGCAGCATGCCTCAGTGCGATGCAAAGTCTTCCCACTGAAAAATTACACGGTGGTCTAAAAATGAATGGTGTTAACATCTGTAGTCCAAAATAAATTTGTAAAAAATCCTTTACTGGACTATTTCAGTTTAATATACAGTAATACACTGTAGATAAAGTTAACATTTCCCCCACTAACTTTAATAGGGACTGATATCAATGTATCTGGTAATTAGAGAAATAAAAACTAATGTGGACTTTTAATATCCATGGCATAGGAGCAATTCCCACACAATTTATCTTAGGAGAACTAATCTGGGGGAATATTAAATACTCTAATGTCCTGGCCATATTAATTCGAAGTACAAGAAACATTTCAAAAACTGGGTTTGGAAAAAAAATAATCAAAAACCGTAATCACAGATCACATGGATATCAATACTAATATAACCTTTTACCTGGCCTAGGACCTGCTTGTATAAACTCAGGACAGAAATTTTGGTTTCTGTAGATTTCTGGTAACAATCCGGCAAAACATTAAATGGAGTGTTGCGCATATCTATTTTGTTTATGTTATCTAATTTTCATAATATGTAAGTAAACAACCATTTCAACAGTTTACTCTAGTTTTAATTACACACTGTACCATTGTATCTTAATTACAGCTAAGACCAGTATTTTCTTCACAATAAGACACTGATAACTAGGAAGTTGACTTTTTTCAATACTAAACACTAATCACACAGCAAATGAGTATTGTGCAAGAGAACAAACATATGTCAGCATTTGCTATATAGGCAAACAAACTGAACATTTAGTTGTTATATTTACTGTAAAGGCAAGGCCATGGGTGGTTTTATGGAGGTCTCTGCAATTCATAGCATAGTCACTTCAGAGGAGACATTGAGATTTGAATTACTGACTTATTAACTGGCAACTATCCATTTAGGTTAGGCAAAGGCACAGGAACATGTTGCGCAGGATGTTTTTATTGAAGTTTTTAATTGTGAGATTTACTATAACTGAAGAAAACTCCACTTTTTTTCTATTTTATAAAACACCATTAAAAGTAATTGCACCCATTAGTAATTAGAATGCACTGTAAAACTGTGAAAACAAAGAACTATGATTGCACTTCCAATAAAGTGTCTCTTAAAATACAGCACCGCTGTTGCTAATCAACTGTATTTTAATATTAAAATAAACTGTTTTTTAACAGCAGCATTAGGTTTAGTTAACTTAAGCTACAGGCTACATTTATTTAAATGCAGTCTCCATGGCAACAAAGGCCTATTCAATTCTGGAATATCACCGCTACCGTGTGGCACCTTTGACTCCCGAGAACACGCTGACACTGCCCTGGGGCACACTAGGACGCTGCACACCTACATGCCTTGTTGGTCAGCGCACAAGTTAGAATTTGGCACGATAGACTGTAATTTGACATGAGAAAAAAACTTTGATTAAACATGTGGAAATTAAAATTAATTACACTGTGGTGGAAGCAGCACTGAAGAGAAGCCCTGGACACCTCGATTCACATTGCTCAGACAGAAAGGGAGGAGGAAGGTCACGGTGGACAGCACAGAGCGACTGAGGACACAGGCGTTCGCACACCTGCCCAGACAAACTTCCAGAATGAAGACAGCTACTCGTTTCTTTCTTTCTTTTTTTGGAAAGCCACCCAAAGATCAGGGAATAAGCCTTTGATTTACATGTTCAAACTAAATACTGCCAACTCTAGGCTAAACAGAGTGCTGCATTTTCTTAGAATGTAGAATACAACCTACTTACTCCGTTTGTGTTTCTCTTGCTTTCCTGCTCTTCTTTTTGTCAGCAGACAGGGGAAAACTACCCAATTAAATACAAAGGAAATTCCCCGTAAGGTTGAAAAATGAAGCTACCATTCAAGGGAACTCCTTTGTATTCAATCCTAACATCAGTGGTTATGATCAAGTTGGAATTAACTGGATCAAAGTCTCTATAAAGCTTACTCCAGCTTTCACACCGTCCGGAACTGCAAAGCACTTGGAGCCAGACGGACGTGGGTCACACTAAATGTACTTGGTCAAGCCAGTCACCAGAGGCTTCAGGGGCCTGACTTGAAATAGCGGCACCATTCTCTTTGTTGGCTGTTTCACTACCGCTGTCACCAGCTTGAGATGACGTCTCCCCCGCCAGAATATTTTCTTCCAATACACTCTCTTCTTTCTGTGCTCCTCTGCCTTCACTGACACCAGCATCTTCAAATACTGAATCTTCTGGCAGCTCAAGCTCCACGTCCCTTATCCCTTCTGAACCATCTTTGACACAGGGGAGGTGAGAATCCACACTCACTTCTGTAGTTGCTGGGGGAATCAGGGCAATGCTCTGAGGATTCATATCATGAAACCAAGCCATGATATTGCCAAGAAGATTGTCATCGATGCTGGGGTCCTGGTCGGTTGAGTCTGGGTCATTAGATGAGGGACAGAAATCACTTCTTGCCTCACTGACAGGATGTGAGCTCAAGGTGTCAGTTGCAAATAGGTCACTTTCTGCTCCTAGTCTCATGAGGCTGTCACCAAGTTCCAAAAGCTCAGAGCTGCTCAATGTGGCTCGAGGGCTATCAGTATTCCTGGGGATGGAGTCCAGCCTGGAAGGCAGAGAAGTGCCTATAGCTCCTAGTGACGCTTCATGACTGAGGAAGTCTCTCGTTTCTTCACCAACAGCCAGCCCAGACTCTTGCAGTGACAACTGTATTGCAAGAAGTATATTGGGATCGTCTTCATCTAAGGAACTTAGAGCCTAAGACAACAGAAAGTGAAACCACTTCAGAATGTATCACAGCGAGAAGTAATTTAACCCAATCCGATTTACTACTTTTCCTTTAACAGATACTAGTGGTACTTATACAAATGAATAGATGTATTCAAATCTTACTATAATTTTCTCCTGGCCCATAGGAAGTGGAAAAAAATACCTAGGATAAATCTGAAATATAGGAATCTCCTCCTGCAGCATATCTTTGAAATAAAGACTTGACAACAGAAGGAAGAAAAAGGCAAGCAATACAAGTAGAAACAGGAAACTATGCTAAACAGAGGAAGAGCAAAAGCATGGGCAACGGGGCTGCTCAGCAAAGCTACCTGAAGGGAGTCCTGGTTTTCAGAGCGGCTGGCAGGGGCATAGTCACGCAGGGAAGAGCTGTGCAGCGCACTCATAGATGCAGAACTTACCACGGATGCGCCAGGCCTGCGGCTGCTGCCACCCTCTGGAACATCTGCTTTAAAGCAATTGGTACCACAGATGATTTAGTGACAAGTAAGACTTGTTCCGTCTGTCTGTCCACCTGTCAGTCTATCATCCATCCATCCATCTATCTATCTGTCTGTCTATCTATCTATCTATCTATCTATCTATCTACAAGGTCTCACTATGTAGCTCAGGCTGGCCTTGAACTCATGGCAACTCTCCTGCCTCAGCCTCCCAAGTACTAGGATTACATGTGTACCATTGGCTCATCTTGTTATTTAAACTGGCAAATTCTCTTTCACTGCTAGTGAATCTGTACCCCTCTGGAATTTCTCAGCCAGATTTGTCTCACTGTAAGCAGTATGTATCTAGTACTCATAGACATGATTGGTTTTACATTTGTGTTTGTATTCTATGGGGTCTGCTTTGGGACTCCAAGTGCTACTATTTGTTTCTCTGTTATTTTTCTTAAGTGATAACAAAAAAAAAGTATTTTCATTTTCAAATTTCTTAAAATTAGAGAATCTGGAAATTACAGTAACATGAAGAGCAAATCTTTAGTCCTAGTGATCCTGACATTATAGTTTGAAGATTTGCAATTAATAACGTAACACTTAAAAGTTAAATGATTAACATAAATCTCTTTTAAGGAGTGTCTCTAGAATGGCAAAGGCCAGGAGAAAAATACCCCATGAAGAAAGCCACACTATCAACAGTGATGGTTTCCTGGTGGTCCCGAGGCGCTTCAGTGCTGCCCACACATTATGTGATTTACCGCTCCTAGTGAGGACGCAGCAGGCACTAGGGGCTCTTTCGGATGAGCACACAGCAGATCAGACAGGGTCAGTCACTTAACTGCAGGTACACAGCCAATTCGCAGCCAAGACGGCACGTAAACCTGGGTTTGCCTGACTGCAGCACACACTCTCTTAAGCCCCCTGGTTTTCTGTACCTTGTGACAGTGAAAGCAGCTACACATTAACTGTGTATCGGAATTATAAATGCACAAACACCAGCACCAACCAGTTCTAAGGACTCGGGGAACTGGAGGACGGCCACCCTCGACTGCAGCTCACCTAGAGCGCTGTCACTTGGCTCCTGCTGGTCTGGGGGGTGACTGAGCAGACTGTGCACGTCTCCCCGCCGGCGCGGTCTGTGCCTCCTCCGATACTGAAATTCAGCATACTCCTGCATAAACCAAAGGTTATAAAACACAGGAGAGCATGCAATTTTCTACATGCAGATAAAGCAAAGACACCTTCCCCACCCCCCAGGAGAAGATGCATGATTTTATACACATATTATAAAATCACTTGGCTTAAGGCGGGGGGAAAGCTTCAAAAGCTTCAAATTTTGCCATGCTAAGGAAATGGAAAGGCAAAATGGAAAAGAAAATTTTCAGAGTCATTACAAGTGCCTAGATAAACTGGGAATACTTGAAAGCCCCAATGCTAGATTACCACTGTTACTTCATATGCCTGGTGATTTCAAGGGTCTTGCTATCTAATTTGTAACAGATACCACAATCATTTTATCAACCTAAGTTAGGTTCTCTCTGGAGTTCTAGTCTTAAAAAATGACTGTGATATATGCAACTCAGTCACAGGAGAAGGAAAAAAGAAACAACAACAAAAACCAAAACCCCACGTGTACACACACACACACACAGTTAAGTACTTGCCAGGTGGTGAATTTTCTATTCTTTGGAATTACTACATACAGTAAACACAAGTGAAATGACTAGATTAGGACAAAAAAGGTAGCTTTAAAAGAAGATGTTAGTAGGTTTCCTTCCATTATTAACCAATATGTGGTGTTATCTACAACACAGGAAAGGGAAACGTTTTGTATTTTGCATGTGGGAAAAACATAGATTGCGACAAAAGCCCATGAGTCTATTACATTTATGACAACAGTTTTTTTTGAGACAGGGTCTCACTATGCAGTTCAGGCTGGCCTTGAGCTCACTTTGTAGCCCAGGCTGGTCTCGAACTCACAACGATCCTCCTGCCTTAGCCTCCCTGAGATTACAGGCATGCCCCACCACGCCCAGCCTGATTATTCTAGTTACTCTAGTGTATTTAATGTATTTATATGGTGAAAGTACTAGGAGTAAGCAAAGACACAGTTTTTATCACAAAACTTTCACACTGTATAACTCTGGTTAAATTTATTTAAACTCCATCTATCTAAGTATGGCTGGACTCTTCAGTAAGAGTTGGGAGAAATCGTCCCAGGTTGGAAATCAATGAATGAAAGACAGTATTAGGCCCCTGAAGGATTACTTAGGTGCTTAAAATTTCCTGAAGAGTAGGGGCATCTTTTCTCCTTTTCCCAGAGGCCATGATCTTAAACTGGATGATGGGTCACGTTTCACTTCCTGAGCATCATATTTTCTTACACAAATATGCTGTCAAAATTTTACCTCAATTAGTGTAAATTTATTGAGAATTTGCTTACATTGTGCACTTGATACTGGTTACAAAGTTATTCTCGATGACTAACTTTTACGGACAGAATGTGCATATTTCCAATTTAGGGAAAGTAAACAATTAAAAATGCTAAAGAAACCTATTATATTTCTAATTTGAGAAAAAGCTTAAAAGGCATTCTTTCATGATGTAGCAGGTTTAAAAAAATTGTTCTCAGGAAATTGTCTGAAAATTTTCAAGGAATTCTAATATCCCCAAGAAGCATATGAAAATAAGCCACTGAAAAGACTTAAAAGTTCTAGAATATATAGGAACAAAGCTACCAGGAGTTTTCTTTTTTAAAATAAGAATGGGCAGCATTTACTGAGCATCAGTCTTGTGCATGCCTTAGTAAGATGCTTTACTTCTTCCAGAACCTCCATGGGGTACCCCTGCCCGTATTTGAAAGCTGAACAACACAGCCTACGATCTTAGTAAGTTATGGAACTAGGCCTGAATTCAGGCATCTTCAGACTTTGAGACCATCCTTGTCTCGCCCAGGTCCACTATCTATAAAGTGGCAGAAAACAAGTATTTGTGCCTGTCACAGACTTAACGCAATTTAAAGATGGAACTAACTTCACTGGAAAAAAATAAAAATTTAACCTAGGAATCTATTGGAGCTTGGTAACATTTTTTTCCCATAATCTAAAACAAAGAGCTAATTCTCAAAAACATAATTTTGGCAGTTACTTGATAGTCATATACATGCAGAATTTGAAAGTCTCACAATGTGGTAATTTTTTAGATTTTCAGTAAAGTTTACATAAAAGCATGGTAGTATTTCATTTGCCAATGACTTTAAAGAAAAGTAAAAGTGAATTAAATAATTTTTACAAAATTTATTAATTCATAAAATGTAAGTTCAAGTGCCAGTCATATTAGCAAACCAAATATTTCAGGGTCTCTAAAGTTATCATCAGAGGGCTGGGGATTTAGCTCAGCGGCAAAAGCGCCTGCCTGGCAAGCGCAAGGTCGTGAGTTCGGTTCCCGGTACCGGAGAAAAACCAGAAAAACCAAAAAAAAAAAAAAAAAAAAAAGTTATCATCAGAGCCAGAAGGTGCAAGATGGTATAAACAAAACTGTGAATACACTGATAAAGGTTTTATTTTTGCTAAACTGTGGTTTTTTTTTTTTTTTTTTTGATAAATGAAGCTTGTTTATTTTTCCTTTTAGGTAGAAATTTTTCACAATATCCCCAAAGCATACATTTAGGGTCAGGTAAAAAAAGTTCTTAATTTCTTTTATAACAAAAATTTCATTGATATATTAAATTATTTTGCAAGTATGTGAATTTAAAATTTTCACATTTCTAAACACAGACCAATACAAAGGCCAAAAGGTAACTGCAAGTTGAAAAAATAAAGTATTTGATTTAAATAAGCCTCAGTCACTTTCTGGACAATAATAGCTTTCACTGTCTTTCAATTTCAGAAAACAAATGGGCTATAAATGATACATGAAGGTTTCATCATTTGTTCTGCTACCTTCCAAAGAATCAAACTGAAGGACCACCATAACATTAGCATAAAATGGTATACTATTCAATAAAGAGCAAAGGACAGAGAAGTACAGAGAACTGCTATGGTAAATCATTTAAAATCATATATAACAGTGACATTGGCAATTTAAATCTCAGAAGACAGCTGCATGATTACGATTTCGCTGCCATATTTTTATTTGCCTCAACTTCTGCTTGCAGTGATAAATGTTTCAGATATTCTATATTTTAAAATAGCATATCACAACGATGAACAAAAAACAAGAGTGTGAAAGTTTGAAAGGAAACAAAAAAAGCAACTGAGCAAAGCATTTTTTTCCTGCATAAACCTTATTACTGTGAAATTTTCCACCTTAGCCACTGATTATAAATTCTCTTGATTGTTGCAATAATTTCAAATAGGTTTCTCAATAGATTAAGAGACTGAAATTAAACTAGAAACATATTTTTAATAAATAAATCTTATATTGCTCTTAACAAAGTAAAAGGTATCTTCCAAAATTCCACACTATAAATTGTTCTAAGTTCTGTTTAGTAATTCAGAATAACAAAAGTGGGATGCATGCATTAATATTCCAATACCATAAATAGCTAAATTCAGGCTCTGCTGAGGCATAATTTTTACAAAAGGAGGAGAAAACGTCGCTGCTACTCTCAGCAGGGTGTTATAATGTTGGGGGTGCAAATGCACGCAGGGTTGCACTAAGGAGAAAATATAAAACACACACACATATATACAGAAGCCAAACCAGACCAAACAACAAAAACCCCACCAGACAATTACCTCAGGTGATGCAAATCCTAAATATTCCCAATCCCATGTTCCACCAGCAAAGCTACAAAGAAATGAGACATATCATATGATTTATAATTAGAACTATGAAGAACACCCAATCAGACCCTTGCCCTTTCAGTAATACTTTTAATTCTATTTAGAACTTAATTATCAAAGCAGACTGACTATTACAATATAACTGAAAACATACTTTCACTATTTCTCTCAAATTCTGAGTTGTTTTATGTTGGTGCAAAATGATGGAAAAAATAAAAGTCACCACATCACAGCAAAGTATTTTATGACTGCTTCTATCTTTGTTTAATAAGCATATAAAATTACTTATGAATACTTAGGTAAAAATAAGGTCAAAGAAATTTCTAATGCTCATAATCATTATGAATATGAAAATATGCTTCAATTTGTAATGGCAAGAGTAGTATATCTTAAACAAGACAACCAAAATAACTGCTCTTTCAGGAATGTTATCTTGATGGCTTAAATAACTTTCCTAACAGCACACTTCTCATTTCTTTACAATTTCTTAACACAAAAGTAAAAACACCACCATAAGCAGCTGGCAAAGTTTCGAAACTCCCTATCATGTCAATGACAATCATCAGGTGACTGTACCTAGTACCCATTTGAAATGGTGCATTAGAATGACTCCGAACTATGCATTCAATTGAAATGTGCAATTAACCTAGCCTAATGTGGTCTGAGGAACTATACACCAATAAACAAAAAAGAAACACCAAGAAAAACAGAAATACTAATGAGGACAAATGTCATTGAAAAGAAGTTAACATACTTTTATCAGCTATCCATGTTTCAGGTTTAAGTAACTTCTAGGAATGTGAGGCTGAGTAGGATAAAAAATAAAACTGTTGGGATTTGTCCTCAAGGCAGGCTAGTCTCTACAGCATACAGCTCTTTTACCTGCGCCTTGGAGCTTCGGGTGAGTCTGCGGGAGCAACTCCGCGAGCCACAGATGCCAGGAATTCTTGCCTCTTCTGTTGCACAAGGCACGCTGCCTTGATGATCTTGTGGCGAGGTGTGCGAAGGTAAGGCCTATTGACTTTTTGGGCAAGGTCTTCAGTGACCATTTCTAGGTCTGTCTATGGTAAGAAAAAAATAAAAAGATGAGTAGGTTAACAAATAACAAATCCAGTCTATCTGGCTTCTCAGTTAAGTTTAACTCTTCATGTCAGAAATTAATTGAAATTTTAAAATGATTTATTTCACGTATTTTTATTTTTGTACATTTTTCCAGGTTAGGAAAGAGAAACCATCATATATAAAATTATCTTAAAGTCAGGAAAATAGCACTCACTTGATAGGTATTAATAGTAACGCAGTTAGTACAGATTATAAAGATGTTGAATACAGCAGCTGTTACAAGGAATCTGTAATTTTTTTGGGGGGGTACCAGAAATTGAACTCGGAACCTCACACCTGCCAGGCAGGCACTGTGCCACTGAGCTAAATCCCTGGCCCTGAAATTTATAATTCATCTAGGTGAAAAAATAATTTCAACACACTGTACAAAATACATGATCCCATGGTGCACATTACACTTACATGCTTAAGGAACCTGAGGCAAAGCAAGACAACTGTGATTTGGGGTTAGGTCTGGAAGGCCTTACACAGAAAATGAGTTTTGAGGATTGAATGAAATATAGAGTATATGTTAGCAGAGCGCAGATCAAAAGGATGACATGAAAATTATAAGGGGGGAAGTTTGCTGACTTCAAAGAAAAGAATTTACAGTGAAGTTCATTGGCTGTGGTCATGTCACTTGGCTTGGGAGTTTTTGTTTCTTTAATACTATAACTTACAAAATAAACTGGTAAGCAGTAACTTTCTGATGTAGTATGTAATAAGGCTGTTTCATCTTTGAAGATAAAATTCTTATTACATAGTCAGAAACAGACCAGCTTTCAACTTCAATTAGCTTAAAGCAAAGAAATACTTTAAGACATGTTAGCACAGCTCTGAATTCACCCAAACCCATAGCAACATACTTGAACATAAAGAAAATTTCAGTTTGTTACCAGTAGCTTCTTTTTTTCTGATTTCAAGGCAAGATCTACTGTTATGAACACAATCATGTTACTTGGTCTTGATAGATAAGTGACATTAGATACACCCAGAATATGTTTAGCATTGAAATAAGCATCCAGCCAACATAAAACACAAGTTCCTAGAAGTAGGAAGCCATGAAAATATATCTTGCATTTTGGTACATCAGGGACACTTTGCTTTGAATAATATTTTGCTTGGATTAAGCCCTTTAGTGTTCTTTTCATGTAAAATTTTAATCCTTGTCCTGGGCTTTGACTCTAGCATTTGATCTAAATGACATTTCACATGTAAATCTTTTCCTGACTAGTGTGCTTATTATGTATAGAATTTAAAATGTGGTGGTTTGAGTTCCTGGTATAAACTATTCAAAATTGTATATTTAAATTCAAAAAAATGTTTTGGTGAAATTTCTACTGAAGAATATATTAAAATAATGTAAAAGTTTCACATGAAGCAATGACCTGTTAATTGGACAGGTCAAGTATCTGAGCTGCGTGAATCACCAGCGCTGCTGCTCAGTAACTTCGCCTCTCACCTCAGGAGCAGGCCATTTAAGCAGCATTGTGTAATAAGAAGTGACGCCTTCGAGATTAGAGCTGGAACTATACCCGCTGTTCATAAAGTAGCTGTGGGGCAGTTTTAGAGGAAGACCCCATTACATGAAGATAAATCCTTCAGGTATTATTGCTGAATTCCAAGTCTCTTGTGACCCCCAAGGGCCAGGATGAAGAGCTGCAAATGCACTGGGTGTGAACTGCACCTTGAACTTGCCGTGTCCTGTTAAACCTTTGACATGGCTGCTGCTGCTCCTGACCAGTCCATCTCCTGGACGCAGGTGCCCTCTCAGGACCTGGAGCAGAGCTGTGGGGAGCTGGCGTCTCTTGTGGTTGATGCGGCCCATCATAAAGGACCTGCTGCACATGGCTGCAGGCTTATTCTGGACATGGCTTATTACAACTGGAGGAATCTAGGGCTAATAGATGGGCTCTCGAAGAAAGAACCCCTCCAGAGTGGCGTAGAGGCAGCTCATCCTGTACAGCCTGGTGCGGTCCACCAGCAGGGTCACCAGCCTGATCCAAGCCAAGCATGTCCACATCAAGCAGAATTCCATGCATGGCTGCTTTTCTCTCTGCCACTGGGGCTGTGGGGTAGGATCCCACGATTAAGCAGAGCAGCCAGAAGACTTCACCTGTCATTTTTGTAGCCCTGGTTTGTGTCTACTCCACCCAGCCCTGCTCCGCACTCCTACCCCGTTCATGCTGAGGGCAGCCTTAGGGGAAGTGGGCAACACAGCTGAACAAAACCCAGGCAGGGACATCGTCCTCCTCAGGGATCAAGTGTGGCCCCTGGCGATGTCTTAGGATCATATATGCAGTACTGACAATTCAGAACCAGAGGCAATAAAAGCCCTCAGTGAAATATTTTTTCTCCTTGCCCCTCTTCTTCTCCTTGGCCTCCTCCTCCCCTTCCCTCCCCTTCCTCCCCTTCCTCCCCTTCTTCCTTCACCAGAGACTTAAAAAAAAAAAAAGCCCATTGGGAAAAAAAACAAAACAAAACTAGTCACACCCCAATTAGTCAAAATTTAAGAGGTTGAAAAATGGAGAAAGTCTGTTTTCCCAATAATAACTGCTACCATTTTAAATATAATGTAAAAAGGCATCTTACTTGCATAAGTTCAAAAATTTCTTTCTTTGTGCTTTTAGGTTCTAAGAAAAATCCATATGGATAAGAACACTTGAGAATGCGTCGAGTTTTTAAGAGCACATGAACTGCGTCTTCGATGAAGGTGGTATCTGGACAGCCTCCTTCAGCTACAAAGGAAGCAAGGCACAGTGAAATTACTTTTCTGTAAATATTATAAAATTAATTAAACAATTGTTTTCTTTAAAAAAAAAAAACTCTTTAAAGGAACTAAAGAACTATTTGAAGTAGGTGTATAATATTTTTTTAAACTTGGTTAAAACCCTATATAAAACACTCAGGTGTGACACGCTTGGATTTATGAGGAAAGCACAGGTCCCTAGAGGGACAGCATACAATCCTCCTGGACTCTGTCTCACCCTCCTGCTACACAAGCACAGCTGTAGGTCAACCCAAAGGTTTCATACTGTACTAAACTTTTCAGATTATCCTTCTAGGAATTCAGTTGCTTAAGCATTAGAAACAATGACTTTCTTTGTTAAGTAGCTTAATTACACCTCTCTTATATAAGGTCTCGATAGTAACGCTGTATATGTAGGCTACATAATTATCTATATTTCAATATTATTAATTTCTCTATATACAATCTATATAATTATGCTTCTACAAAACAAAGCAAAGCAAAAGAAAAACACCAAGGGAAAAGATACCACATCCTGAGGAACAAATGGACAACTAATGCTAGTACATAAAAAACTTGAGGAAGAAAAAAAAATGAGGAAATCTAGGAGGAGGACTGCCAGGGAAAAAGAAATTTCATTAATAAAGCAAACAATATTACAAAAGTCTAGCTTTTTCTTTAGCTGTAAATAAATAGAAATTAAATTGGAGAATCTAATAAGTACTGCTGAAAATCGTATTATTCTGCATGCCTTTTTGTCTGCTAATAGCATAGGCTGTGTTAAGAGCACAAGACTAGTGTCAGGTAGAAAATGCATGTATATATACACAAACTGATATACAGACCACCCTGAAATTTCTAAGTACACTCAGTCTCTAGGGTAGGTATCTGATCTGGATGTAAAAACAAACCAAATGACCCATGCTTCTTCCTTGCCCATTATATGTGTGAGAAGTGTGTGAAGTTCTTCCTCCTTTCCAATTTGTATATCTTTTAATTCTTTTTTATATTCTATTACTATGCTGCCTGGAACCTCCAGAATATTGAATGAATGCAGTAATTTCATCAGCAAATACCTACATCTACTGCATGTGAAGTGCAGTTCTAAACACTAGGGACACATTAGTGATAAAATAGGTACCCAGCCCTGTTAAAGAATTATACATACTCTTGAGAAAATTTTCTTTTCAATTTTACTGTGGAAGTTGGTATTGGTATCATTAAGTGTCTATAAACTAATAAATAATGAAACTAAACTGCTATTGACACTCTTAACCCCATTCTAACTTAACTGATGGTTACTGTCTTATTAGAATTCTTCTCACAAAAGGGTGTTTAATCTCATTATTTTATGAATGGGGACAAATGTAATTACTCAAGATTTTTAGGCTTGAAATACAGCTTTCAAGTATTAGCTACGATTATTTTAAAACTGTGACTTATAAAAAAAACCACACCTGTACCCCGTGTGGTCACTCTGGGGTATTCATATTCCACAAATGCAGTCACTCAATCCATATTCAGCAATGTTCTTTTATAAATTCCAACTGAGGACTCACAAGTTAGCCACTCTCACGGCTTTGCTTTTTTACCTTGATTTCGTTATTTACTAGTAAAATGATTTCTCCCCAATCTATCCTTGATTTCTACTTCAGTAGGTACCCCGCTAAATTCTCTCAAGGACCTAGGTATTTGATTGTGTAAAAACTGGGTAGCACACGCATCTTTTTCCCTTTGAGGAGGCCAGGGCCACCCCTCAGGATCCATCCACCCACTTTCCCAGCACTGCAGAGATTGGCCACGGCACAGGGTAAGCAGTATCACAACGTGTTTTTCCTCTTTGTCTGCTAACAGCACAGGCTGTATGTAGAGTAGAAGACTAGGTGTCAGGTGGAAAACGCAAAGATGGAGATCTGTTCTACGCTGTGCTCAGGACTTTCAGAGAACTCAGAACAGTACCAGAAGGAGCTAATGGCTACAGTACAACCTTTAGGGGCTTAATCTCCTACCCGTGAGCTGACTGAGCAAGGAAGGATATTTTACACTGATTATCACACATACCACTGAGAACTTACTTTCTTTGAGAGCTCTACTCAATTGTTCCATCTTTTCTTTGGCTGTTTTAAGAAGGCGGTGTTCTAACTAAAGGAACAGAAATAAATAATTTAAACCATCTTCTTTATTTATCACAATAGTGCAGTTCAACTCATCTGAAAAGATTTGGGACATACCTGATAACTATGCTCATGGTTTTTAAATCTTGTGTAATAGTGCATAAATCTGTCAAGTTCCTGAAATCGTTTGTGTTTTTTCTCAGCCTAGGAAACAAAAGTTCATAAATGACTTTATTAAAATTGATGTTTTTGGGCTCATTTAAAATTTTTATTAGTAACAGGTAGTAATGCAGACAGATTTGTTGATTATTTCGAGAAAATAATAACCAATTTTGAAGTCTCCCAGAACAAAGTCTTACATTTGTATTGTCTGTGCTAAGTCTGAACCCACAACCCCATCTTCAATGTTTTATTATATGGCTTGCTGCTATGGACTGATCTGTTTCCCCATAGGATTCACCTACTGAAGCCCTAACTCTTATGAAGAGGTGATAAAGGTTACACAGGATCATTCGGGTGGGGCCTTATTCTGACAGGGCTGGTGCCCTTGTAAGGGGAAGGAACACTAAAGCTCTGTCTCTTTCCTAGGCAATGTGAGGACACAGGTAAAATGGTGGTTTGCTGTCTGATGAGCACTGAGAGCTAGTTGGCTGGAACCTTGATCCTGGGCTTCACAGCTTCTCCAAACTGTAAGAAATAAATTTCTGTTGCTTTCCACTCTGTGGTAGCTGTGCAGACTAAGATAATTACTGCATGCTATAATATAATGCTGCACAGTTAATAATATGTTAAAATTGTTTTTAAGCTTTTACAGAAGCAGACTGGGACTGGGATTTTCCTATCTTCACCAAAACGGAAAAGGGAAGACTTGGAAGAATGCAAGGGTATTCTACATTCCCCTTAGTACCCCATTAAGATGAAGGTAGGAACGGAAGTGCAAAATACTTCTAATGTTATTAAGTGGTTTAGACAAAGGTCTCGGACTAATCAGTTATCTTTACCTCCACAGTCATTTCCTTGGATTGCTCCTCCACATGCTGAATGACTTCATAGCGAGTACATCTGTAATAACCTCCAGTGGAAGAACTATGTTTTTTCCATTCTTCAAGACAAATCCAGCAAAAATCATACTTGCACTTCAAAAGAAAACACATGTAAACATCTCCCTATGTGAACACGCTAATGAAGTCTGCTTTTTAGTCACCAACACGTAATCACTGAACCATCCTGCCTGTGTGACCCGAAACAAATCTTAAAGACACGCCCTTCTTCTCATGCTTCACTTTATCTACATTATGGCAAGATGTGGGGGCAGTGTAAAATGATTTTTTCAAAGGATAAATTTAAATGAAAATCATAATATTATTAAGTAATCACAAAGAATCATTGAAAATATCAACAAAGAAGGCTAGGCTAGGGATGTAACTCAGTGTTACATGTGAGATATTCTGGGTTCAAGTCCCAATACTGGGGGAAAAATAATAATATAGATTTAAAAAAATAATAAAAACAGGTACTGAATGAATGTTTCCTTTTTCAAGTATGTGGTAATCTTTCATTGATTGGTCTATAGTTCCATCAGGCTATTTGAAAAACTCTTGGCAACTTTGAAAAATTTGTTTTAAAATTGGAGTAAATTTAAAAGGTCACTAAATAAAATAACTGACATAAAATGTTTTTCATTTTAAAGAAAACTTCACTTACTTGAAAATACATTTTTTTTTCCTTTTGCACTTAGGGATTTTGAGTCAGTTAGAAAGATCTTTACCTCCCAAGTATATATGCTATCTTCTGGTACGTTTACCAGTACTTTTGGTACGAGTTTATTTTTTTTAAGAAATATTTAACTTTTTGAGCCATTAGAAATCTATCTGGATGTAGTATGAAGCATGAACTTTTTTTTCCCATACTGCTGCCCAGACTTATCCTAATAATATTTACTGAATAGTTTACACTTCTCCACTGGTTAAGGATGCTACTGCTACCATATATAAAAACTCCCACACATTGCATCTATTTTCTGGACTTCCTCTCTGCTTTGTTTTCACGACTTGTTTATTCATAGGGTGCCAGCACCATACTGTTTTAGTTGCTGAGTTTTTATGAAATAGCTTACTATCTGACATGGTAGTTTCCTCTTACTGGCACTTTTCGAAGTTTTCCTAGTCACTCCTGCTTTGACTTCCCATATAACTTTTGAATGACATCTACCCTGATGAGAAAACAAAAACTGTTGGTATTTTGGCTGGAATCGTTTTATTTAAGAACTCAGTTGTCTTTCCATTTGATTGTCATCTTGTGTTTCCTAAAGAGGGCTTTTACATTTTTTCAACGTAAGTCTGGCATATTTATTTTTAGATAAATGAGGTCTTTCAGCATATATTCTATGAGGGTGTGACTGGTACACATTACAATGATCATTTTCTGTACATTAATTCTGTACTCTACTACTTAGTTGAAATTTGTTTTGCAGATTTTCTGTTGATTCTTTTGGATTTTCCAGGCATATAATTATGCCATCTGCAAAAAGTGATAATTGTAATCTCTCATTTCCTCTTGTCTAAACTGACCAATATCATACACGTAATGCTAATGCTATTGGTGATGGAGAGCGTCCTTAGGTTGTTCTGAAGTAAATACACTAAATACACTAACTTTTAGACTAAACTAACTTTTTTGGTATGCAGAATCGAACTCAGGACCTTGCACTTGCCAAGCTGGCGCTTGCGCCACTGAGCCATATCCCCAGCCCCAGAACTAATTTATTTTTATCGAACTTTTGGAAGAATCTATTCTCTCTCTACTTGAATTTTATAAAGAAAGATTGTTCTTTTTTGTTAAATGTCTTTCAACATCTATGGAAAACACTGGTAGAAAAGATGAGATACAAGGGGCTGGGGATTTAGCTCAGCGGCAAAAGCGCCTGCCTCGCATGCGCAAGGTCGTGAGTTCGGTTCTCGGTACCGGAGAAAAACCAAAAAAAAAAAAAAAAAAAAAAAAAAAAAAAAGAAAAGAAAAGATGAGATACAGCAATAGCGACCTTGATACAGGACAGTTTTTATCCTCCTGGAATAAACTCTTCCAATTACTCTCAATGTGTTCTACTTGGTTATGCTTGCTGTTATCTGTTTTTCTTTTTGGTCCTCTTTAATCTCTTCTTCAGATGTCTGCATTGTTATTTGTAAGTAATTAGTCAATAGTTCAATTTTTTATACTCCTGTTAAGTGGCACTGAGGTTTGACTCACTTTATAAGAGTAACTTTTGAAAATTTCTTCAAAAGTTAAAAAAAATTCCTAGGAACAGTTAAGTAACCCTGGAATCACCTGCTTATCAAAGATTTGGCAGAATTCTGTTGTGAAACTCAGGGCCGCTTTCAGACTGCTGAAGAGGGCAGATCTAAAGGGAGGTCTAAGGTAGAGGAGAGATCTTTGAAAAACTCTTCTTTGGGAATGAATATATCTGGATTCTCTCTTTCTGGGTCAGTTTTAATAAATCACTTTTTCTTACAAAATTCATTCATTCAAATCTAAGGTGAACTATATCTGCCAGGGCTAAGCAAAGTTATTCCTTATTATTTGTTTCTGTGTTTCTCTGATTATTTCTTTTACTTCTCATATTGTGTATTTCAACTCCCTCAACTTTATTTTCTTCTAGATTACCTTCCTGGTTTTTCTATCTAATTTTTTCTTCAGAAAACTTTTTGTGGATTCATTTATTATTGCATTGGTTTTCTTTATTAACTTATTAATTTTTCTTCTTTTTAAATCTTCTTTCTGGTCTTTCATTTGTTTTTCTAAATTTTTAAATTGTGCCTTTATTTTTTCACTTTATATTGTTTTAGATAAATAAGGGTGCACTTAATTCTGAGCATTGCTTTAGCTATAGCCCTCAGGTTCTGATAAAATGATGTTTTCATTATTTCTGTTTTATACCAGTTCTTTAATTTCTATTTTTACCTCCTTTTCCACTTCAGTTGCTTGAAAGACTTAAAATTTCTAAGTGAAAAGCCTTTTGTGACTTACTATTGATTTCCATTTTATTCACTTATGAGGAAAGAATGTTATTTCCACTATTTTCTACTTTCTGGAATATAATTGAGATCTTCTTTGATGATTTATGGTCACTTTTTTGGTAAATGCTCCATAGGCACTTGGAAAGATAACACAGTCCACATTTCCAGAGAGTTCTGACATACATATAAAAATAACATATACCTTAGTAACAGCCAAATATTACCTTCTAGGATGGAGAAAAAATATAGAACTTCAATAATTTTTCTTTTTTAGTCATAACATACAGTTTTATACAAACTGAATAAAGAAAATTATTTTTTTTTATTTTATTTTTTTATTTTATTTTTTTATTTTTTTTGGTTTTTCTCCGGTACCAGGGACCAAACTCATGACCTTGCGCTTGCCAGGCAGGCGCTTTGCCACTGAGCAAATCCCCAGCCCCAAGTAAATTATTGTAAGTGACTAAATCCCCAGCCCCAAGTAAATTATTGTAAGTGATTTAATATACGTAACAGTAAGAAATTTAGATTAAAAAAACATATTTGAAAGAAAAGTAAATAGAATAAACCATGTTTTTAAAATAAGTAAGCATTTTTTTAGAGGACTAAATTTGTCATTCTGCTAAAATGCTTATTACATATAATTCCAGAAAGCAAAAACTGTCTGCTGAATACTGAGGTATACTATGATCTAGTCTCTGTGTTAAAGCATAGATTCAACTATACATAACATGTTCCACCAACACATTTAAATAATGGTGTAAAAGAATTTGATTTTGCTGCAGCAAGGTTATTACCTTCTAGGTAAGCCCTCAATGTTACAAAAACTACTACTTTGCAGTTTCTATTTTCTTTTTTTTTTTGGTTTTTCTCCGGTACCGGGAACCGAACTCACGACCTTGCGCATGCGAGGCAGGCGCTTTTGCCGCTGAGCTAAATCCCCAGCCCCCGCAGTTTCTATTTTCAATGAAAATACTTCAGATATTACGACTACGATATTTATAGGACAAGTACATAAGTGTTTTAAAGGCAACAGAAGTTTAAGCAAAATCTGTTTAAGTTGGATTACTTTTATGTCATCAGTGTAATTAATTCATGAAAATATTTCTATACTCAATACATATTAAGTATTACTGGTAAGTGCTAGGAAGGAAATAAAGGCAGTAGAGGATTCTAGCTCAGCGGCCAACTACTGATTTTTATGGTCAATCTGCACTTCCTCACACATCTTGGTAGTCTATAGCAGATTTTCCAAGGAAGGATGGGCATGGGGAAAAGTCTCAGTGTTGGAGGTAAGACTAAAATGAGCTGAAAGAACCGTGGTCCAATCCTTAGCTGAGCGAATAAGGATGTCATGTATTTTGCTCAGGACATTGCACTAGGTTTTTCTTTCTACCTCTTAAAGAATCATTATTGCTCATTAACTCAATTCATTTACATTAATTTCACAATAATCCAGACTTGTAAAATCATTTGCCATTTCTTTGCAAGTTAACTGCCATTCCTTTGCAAGTTATAATAATAATGATTATAAGCTTCAAGATTAAACACTCAAGTTAATCTTTGAAGATACTGATAGAATGTATTTTTACTGGAATGTTAGAGTTTCTTTCATATTTCAAATTAGAAAAAATTACATTATCCTCCCTGTAATTTTAAATATAGGTGATACTTCCCATAAAAAGGAAAATTATAGGATATAATACAATTTTAAGACATGAAAGTTTATCAGTGTAGGTATGGATTAATAAAATGTTATTAAGTTAACTCCAGAATATTTATTTTATTTATTTATTTTTCTCCGGTACCGGGAACTGAACTCACGACCTTGTGCTTGCCAGGCAGGCGCTTTGCCGCTGAGCTAAATCCCCAGCCCCAAATTGATGGTTTCATTAGCAAAGCAACGTTTCTGATTTGGACTGACAAACTAAGATTCCAACCCCAAAGCACAGAAAATATTCTTTGCTTTCTTACCTTAGCACACTGCATGTGATTGCAGCCCTCATTCTTCTGTATTGGAGACTTACAATTAGCACAAGGCTTGGAGTTAGTTAACAACCAGAGGCAATTGGCTGCATCCTCATATGCTTCACTAACTCCCACAACTTTGGGGTATTAAACACAAACAGAAAAATAAATGACACAGTGTACAACTTTGGGGGGGAAAACCCAGACTTTTCTTTGTAGGTTGTCTCTCCATTTGAATCATATATTTATTTTCCTATTACGATGTATGGCAAAATTTTTAACTGCTTCATTTTGAATAGCATAATCATAAATTAATAAACCTTATTCCAAGTGTGCTATCTTTACAAAACTTGGCTTAAAGTGATTTCCCTGTAAATTTGTTCCAAATAAACTAGGGAAAACCCCCAGAATACTGGTTACTGTAGATAGTAATTTCTTAACTAGGTCAGTTACAAATATAAGAAATTCTTCATCATAGTGAAAAGCATGAAGTAACAACACCTTTTTAAAAATCCGTGATAACTTTAGATAAATTTGAATTCAATACAACATGCCTAAAATTAAACTTATCATTTTCCCTCAAACCTGCTCCTTTCTTTCTAGTGCCTGTCCTGGTAAATGATACAAGGATCACCTGTCTAGCATAATCCAGGAAGAGTGTAATCTCCAACACACCTCCCAGATCCTTCATTCATGGCATCCCATGGATTCTACCTTTTTCTCATAGCTGCTTCCTCTCCACTCATTTTATTGCTCTAGCTAGGATCCTCCATATCTCTCGCCTAGATAATGAAAGCATAGGAAACTAAGTATCTCCCAGTTCCTTCCTCCTCCCATTCCCATCTATACAGCCTACACAGTGATCTTTCAAAAATAAAAATCTGTTTAAAATCTTTCAATTGCTCCCTATCAACTACAAATGACTATAAGATAAAATCAAATTGCTTTGGCAAAGAATATAAAGTCCTTTAGGATCCTTTCCTTCTGCTTGGCAAGTTTCTTGCACTTTCTCCATTCCTATAACGACATTTACATTTTATCTCTTAAGCTCTTATCTATCCTGCTTGGGATCTCAATCTTAAGGCATGCCATGGTTTTTAAAGTTTCCAAATTTTACATTTCATAAACTCTTCCCCTGCCCCAATGGAGAGTTAGGAGCTGGAGAGAATTCTAGATATACAATTTAGTAATTATTTTTTCCTGCAAGAATTCCAGTAATCAAGCCCTGCTCCTCTAGTTCTAAGTGCATCAGAAGTCCTGCCTTATTTTTATAGTTAAAAAAAAAAAAAAAAAGAAAATCACTTTAGAATCATTGAATGTGGTCTCTCCAGTCAACAATTTGTTTACATGAAGATTGTTTCAAAAGGGTGATGAGGGCAGGAAAGAAGGCAGGGAAACACTCTTTGAGTTTTGAAGTCTATAAGGAAAGGTTATCGAACTATTAGATATAAGACCCTGCAGAGGAAAAAGGGACAAAGATTTGGGCTGAAAACCCTGAGAAGTGGCTCCCTCTACGAACTGGAGGGGCTAAGCACTTTGAGTATCTTTTCCTAGAGCCTAGCAGTAAAGGGGCAGGGCTGTCTTGAACCCTGAAGGCCCATCTACCAAAGTTTGACTTGGTAACACAACATGATTGGACCATACACGCTGGTCTTAATTCTACACAGCAAAGGGAAACAACAGCCGCAAGCCCCCAGCTTTAAATATACTCAGTTTGATGAGGGAGTTCATGGGAAGAATTCCTAGATACCTTGGAGGGGGATCAGAGTTTCAGAAGAAAGTTAACAGTATCAAACTGTGGAGGAAATGCTGCTTGCAAAAGGGACTGCTATATAACTCAATTGCTAAGTACATTTCACATTGAAAACATCTAACTTTTGTTTAAAAGTAATGGCCTTTTCCCTCTCTTTAGCATCAACATTATTTTTAGCTCCGAGACTCTAATATATTCTTATGACTCTTATTGTTCATTGTTATAGTAAATAAAGCACAAAGGCATTAAAACAAAGCAGCCCTGTGGCCCGCAACGTAACAATTTTTTCTTCTGCTCTTGGAGACAATGCTAACTCTTAACTGCCTTTTAGTGGACTGCTTGAAGTAAATCATATTCAGAAAAGAACCAACTATTACCATAGTAAAAGTTACACTAAAAAAATGCATTCGTCTTCAGTTCTTTTAACTTGCTTATTCTATGTATTTATCTCTTTGTAATGCTACTCTTATACCTGTGACACCTCATCTCCCTTCAAATTTTCCGTGAGTCTTCACTGATACTAAGAAAATCTCCTCCTTTCCTCAGTTACATGTCTATTTTAGCTTGATTTTTCTCTCTTAGGTAACCTAGGGTGTTTAGGTCTCTTGGTTAGAAACATTAACTTCATTTAGTAAAGCATTAGATTCTAACAGAATCTAAGATTGTATTAGTAGAATCAAAATGTATGCATGTGAAGTTACTTGTAAAGAATTGAACTTTTAAGTCAACAACCTGAATTCCATGCCATAACCATTTATTAAAATATGTATTATGAAAAAAACTGGCCTATAAGTTAACTGTCATTTCACAAAATATACAAGCACTCCTGCTTCTTGCTCTGCCTAGATACAACAGAGGTAATTTCAATGCTTTAAAAATCTACTTAAACCTTTATAAGGAATTAATTCTTTGAGCTGAATTTAGCATGTTTTCTAATACTGTTGCATACAATGCAAAGGGAAAATGCTTACAATCCAAAGTAATATGTACACTTAAAACAGCATTTAGTCATACTTTTATGGAGTATCACTTTAGAACATGTAATGAAGATGTTCTACGTTAGCATTATAATTTCCCTATTGTTCCTTTAATCATCTTAAATTTCAGAAACCTAAGTACCTTTCTGATCACCTTATTTCAGTGTCAAGGACACAGATCAGTGCAGTAAGGAAACTCTTAGGTGTTCCTTGGCAACTAGGGCTTTTTCTGCAGTTCTGGCTTTAGCTCTTTTTCTGGCAGAATACTTTTCAGGCATCTTCAGACTCTTCTGTCCTCTTTTCTAAAATTCCTTTATCTTTCCAAACTAAAATTCCACTTTGGCTTTTTTTTTTTTTTTGGTACCGGGAATTGATCTCAGGACCTTGTGTTTGCCAGGCAGGTGCTTATGTCACTGAGCTATAACCCTAGCCCTCCACTCTGGCTCTTGAAGGGTAACCTTCAGATTTCAATTTATGGTCTATTTCCAGTCACCAGAGGTAACCAGGAATATACCATGGATACCATTTTCAAGTTTTTCTACTTCTTTTCTGTCCTTATGAGAATCATTATCATGTAGATACTCTTTCACAAGTCCCATCAATAATCTTTTCTCACTAGCCAGGTCTTTCTCCCTCTATTTCCTAACAAAAACTTATCTGTGGATATGGAGTGAGTGAGCCAATATTAAAAAACACAGTAAGTAAGGGATAATTAAAAAACAAAACCTCAAAATACTTAGCTTAGCTCTCAAATCAGATACTTTTGGCTATTCTTTACTTAAGAATTAGACAATATGTAGACAATTACTTCCTATAGTACATTAAATCTTCTAGGCAACAGACTAAATTTACATGTTCTTAAAATTACATCTGCTTACCTCTCCAGCATACATGCCACCCCAACTTTGGCCTCACACACTGCCTGTCTTGTTTAAGCTTTCACAGCTTCTCACCTGGACATTCTCATGTAGCCTCATACAGTGCTTCAACAGTCCCTGATTTATCATCCACACTCGTGTTTGTGAGATCCTGCTCAGTAAGCACGTCCTCTCCCGAACCTTCATGCACCACTGCACTGGCTACATTGAATTTGCAGTCTTGAATATGCTGCGCTGTTTCATAGCAATACTTTGCACTGTCTGGAATGCCCTTCCTGTTTTGGTCATTGTGAACAACATCGATCAGCTTTCAAGCTGCAGCTTAAGCATCAACTCTTTCAGAGAGAAATGTTTCGTAACCCTCTTCCAGAGGTAACTGACCTCTTTGTTTTTTCCCTCTCCCACAATTTATCACAGGAACAATATTCTTACACAGCATTTAGAATCTATACCATCTCTAAAATACAAATTTCAAGGGCATAGAAGACATCTTATTTTTATATTTTCACATATAACAGCCATATAATGTTAAATAAGAAGACCCAAATGAAATTAATTTTCATTTGCATTAACTTGAAAGAAAAGAGCTGAGAAGTATTTTAAAATACTTGAAGAGATGGGAAATTATCGCAAAGCACATATAATTATTTGTTGAATGTACACACTGTTGTGAGAACAATTTAAAATAGAGTCCTGCTGAGCACGGTGGTCCATGTCTGTAATTCCAGGACTCTGGGAAGCTGATGCAGCAGGATCAGAAGTTTGAGCCTAGTGTGGGCAATTTAGCAAGACCCTGTCTCAAATTTTTAAAAAAGGGCTAGAGATGTAGCTCACTGCACAGGCCCTGGGTTCAATTCTCAGCATTGGAGGGAAAAAGGCCCCTGAGAAACTCAAACCCATTTCATCACTAAGCGTGTGTTTTGTGTCATTCAATCCAATCCAATATTGGCCTCCTCTGTAGAATGGGATCACTAACATCATATGGTAGCATTACTGTAAGGATAATAAAATAGCATATTTACAGGAGTCTCAGGGACAACAGTTATAGATAGGCTATTTATAGAAGAAATTTATAGAACCACACAATAGTAAAGAATTTACTTGTCTTATCCTTCACTGAAGTTTTATTGGAAATGAGATCTTTTCACTTTAGGTCATATACTAGCTTCTCCCAAGACACAGAATAGCTAGATGGCCCGACCTAGGCTAAAAAAGGGCTAAGAAGGGTAAAGGTAATCCTTACTTGCCCTGTTTGTATTAGGCTGGAAAGTCTTATTGGAAACATGGGAACTTTCTATGATTCCTCTTTGCAAGAGTCTATGATGTCCAAAAGGATGCTGGTCAGAGGGACAATGCTAAACATGGGACGTCTCAATTAAGAAATTTGAAAACTAATTGAAAGTAAACATTATAAGAAACTGGACTACATTTGCTATTAGGAAATGCTATTAGGAAATGCTATTAGGAATGCTATTAGGAAACACATAGCCCAGCTATCTAAGATTCCTCTTACGCTCTTCTGGTTTCATTTCAGTTATTTTTTGCAGCCAGTTTTTCCATGTTTGGCAGTCACATGGCTCATGTGCTTCACCAAGGCACTCCCTAAGGAAGAAAACAGAAAGTAATTTAAAAATAGTCATCAATATCAAAGTGAAAAAAAATAGGTGGGAAGGACTCTTCTAATTTTAAAGTAAAAACTAAGGTACAGTGATGAGATATGAAGCATTTCAGTGGAGCAAATGAAAATGTGATTCCAAAGTTTAATGACTTCAGACAAGTTTTCTTTGCAATAAGTACCTTAACTTATACATTTTAAAAGTTCTAAACGGATTATCTAATATCTGTGACCCTAGTTTTACTCGACTAAGCTGTAAAATATTTTTATTAACTGGATTAATTAATACTTGTAATTAATACTTTAAATTAATTAATACTATTGTAATTAATACTTTAAATTCTAGGTATTGAAGGTACATTCTTCAGTAAGCAGCATTGTTACTACTTGTGGGCTTGTTAGGTAAGAACAGGAGGAGGGCCAATGAAACTAGAGACCACAATATGCATTTCATCAAAGTTAGCACATAGTCTTTAAAGTTTGAGAAGCAATGTTTTTAGTCATATTCATACAGTTACTTTTACCTCCTATTTCCCAGATAACTGTTAGGGAAATCTAATTTTGTTTTTATTGGAATTTGATACATCCTGACTTAAATATTTAACATCAACTTATCATTTGTAATTCAATTTCATATTCTTAAGAACTACGGTTATATAAGAAGTCAAATATCAAAAAGAGCTTATGGCCTTTATAAATTTTACTCATTTTATTCAATATGATGCTCTATTGCATAGTCCAAAGGTCATTATTCCAGTTAACAAAATACTGCTTTGGGGACAGAAAAATTCAAGCTGCATACGATATCATCATCATTGTCATCATAAATGATGTTATTTACAAAGGTTAAGTTTGTTAAGACATACCAACTGACTCAAGTAGGGAGTCTTATAAACTAAGCGGTAATGAAGTATTCCACTATATGAAGGAAGTGCCCATTCTACTTCACACTCATTTGGAAGACTGGTGTTAAAACTAGAAAATAACGAGTGTTGGTATGGATTTGCAAAAATCAGAACCTCTACGCATCACTGACAGAAACACAAATGCTAATGTAGCTGCTATGGAGAGCAGTTTGATGGTTCCTTATAAAGTTAAACATAGAATTACTGCGGGATTCAGCAATTTGACTTGTAGGTATATATCTAAAAGAACTGAAAACAAACACTCAAACTTGTAATTAGTGTTTACAGCAGCATACAAAAGCAAAAAGGTGGAAACAACTGAAGTGTCCACCAACAGATAAGAGAATAAACAAACTGTATAATCATATGCTGGAATACTGTCTAGCCACAAGACAGTCTAAACCATGACCCAACATGGACCAACATTATAAATCATGATACAACATGCTGGGTGAAATAAGCCAGACACAAAAGGATAAATATTGTAGAATTCTATTATAATGGGCACCATGGTGCATATTTGTAGTTAATCTTAAGGGTGATGCAGGAAGATCACTTGAGTCTAGGAGTTCAAGGACAGCTTGGGCAACTTAGAGACAACCCCTATTACAGAAAAAATAATCTAGGCTAATTTATAGAGTCAGAAAGTAGAATGGGGTTATCAGCAGCTAAGGAGAGGAAGATGAGGAATTACTGCTTAATTAATGGTTCCAGAGTCTTTAGGATTACAAAAAATTTCTTTAAATGTGAAGGGGTGGATGATGAGCTGTGAGTGAATACAATTAGTGTTACTGAACCACACACTTAAAAACGGTTAAATGATTAAAAAAAAGGAATTATATTACCCTTTTGGGGTAATGTCCTTACCTTCCTAATTTATCACCTAATCTGGTGTTTGGCAAATATTTTTTCTAATAGCGGTTTTATAGCATTCTTAGTAACATGCAGTCAAAATATTAGATTGTTTAAAAATGACAGTAGATAAATCATTTTTGTTTAAGTGCAAATAAAAATCTACTCTGCTTTCCAGAAATGTAAGGAATGTCTGTGATAATTCCATCTGGCACATTGTACTAGCACATGGAAGAGTAAGAAATATACCACACATCTAGGAACAATGCTTCCATAAGGAGCTTTAAGAATAAATGTGGGAATGTAGAATTTACATTTTTTCACAACTCATTAAAAAATCTGTTAATTATACCCAATAAAGCTGGAAAAAATCTTCAGATGAAAAATACTCTAATGCTTATGCAGTATCTAAAACAAATGAACAAAGAAACTAAATTTTTAAAGATTTTTTTCAACTGGAGATTAAATAGCATACCCAACCACCCCAAGAGGTAATACTAATACAGTGGTTCTGTTCTTAGAACATTTTCTAATAGAAAAAAGATAGTATCATGCAGAAAAATGCTCAATGCCTTCAAACTGTATCTAAAAAACCAGCACTTATTCAAAGGTCACAAGCAGACTTCTCAACACAAACCCTTAAGTCAAGGAGAGTTTGGAATGAAGTGTTTCAAGCCCTAAAAGAAAACAATCTCCAACCCAGATTAATGTACCCTGCAAAATTATCTTTCAAATGGATGGAGAAATAAGATACTTCCACGGCAAAAAAAACTTGAAGAAATTCATGACCACCAAATCAGCACTCCAAAATGTTTTCAAGGACACTCTAGAAGGAGAGAATGAAGACTACAACTCCATGAACCCCAATAGAACGAATCCACCAGGCAAGACAAACAGGAACCTGGAAAAAAGCAGGGGCAGCCATTCTATTCGCAGACTAAGTGGATTTCAAGCCAAGACTGATCAAGAGAGAAAAAAGAAGGTCATTACATCCTTGTTCAAAGAACAATCCAAGAGGAAGAGAAAACAATCATAAATATATACATACCAAACACAGTGTACCCAACTACGTAAAGCAAATATGAATGGACATGAAAAAGCAAATAAGCACTAACACAATTGTAATGGGAACCTCCATACCCCACTCTCATAAACAGATCAAACAGACAAAAGAAATATCAGTAATGAATCAGTAATAAATATCAGTAACAAAGAAATATCAGTAATGAACCAAACTTTTGAACAAAAGGACTTAGTATGTCTACAGAGTGTTCCACCCCACAACATCAGAATACACATTCTCAGCTGCACACGGATGTTCTCCAGAATAGACCACATACTAGCTCATAGAACATGCTTAGGTAAATGCAAAGGAACTGAAATTATCCCATGCATATTATCAGGGCATGAAACTGGAAATCAATGGCAAAAGAAACCACAAAAACTTCATTAACACAGGGAAATTAAATAGCACCCTCCTGAACAACCAATGAATAACAGATGAAATTAAAGAAGAAATTACATCATTTCTACAATTAAACGATGTCAGTATAACACACTGGAACTTATGGGATGCAACACAAGCAGTCCTCTGAGGGAAACTTATAGCACTAAATTCCCACCTCAGAAAAACAGAATGAGGTCAAAATAATCTAATGTTATAAACTCTTCTAGAAAAAGAAGAGCAAGTCAAGCTCAAAGCTCATACAGGGGAGGAAATTATAAAGATTAGAGCAGAAATTAATTCAACTGACACCAAGAAAATATATAAAAATTAATGAATCAGAGTTGGTTCTTAGAAAGATTAAATAAAATTGACACTTAGCCAACCTTATCAAAACAAGGAAAGAAAAGACTTCAATCCACACAGTTATAAATGAAATGGGTAAAATCATAATGAATCCTGCAGAAATCCAGATCATTACTATCTACTTCAAGAACCTGTATTCTAATGAGCTGGAATACACAGAAAAAATGGATAGATTTCAGATACATAGGAATTATCAAAGTTGAATCAAGAAGCTATAAAGATTTTAAATAACCCAGTTATCAGTTATCAGTCAATGAAATTGAAGATGTAATTAAACTGCTGAGTTCTACAAGAAATTTAGAGAAGATCTAATGCCACTACTCCTCAAACTTCTTAATGAAACTGAAAGGGAAGCAATACTCCGAAACTCATTCCTGAGGCTGGGGATTTAGCTCAGCGGCACAGTGCCTGCCTGGCAGGTGCGAGGTCGTGAGTTTGATTCCCGGTACTGGAAAAAACAAAACAAAACAAAACACCAAAAAGAAACTCATTCCTGGAAGCAAGCATTACCCTGATACCAAAGAGAGATCCAAACCAGAGAGAGATCCAACCAAAAAAGAGAGCTACAAGTCAATCATGCTATGAACATAGACACAAAGGTCCTTTTTTTTGTTTGTTTGTTTTTTTGTTTTTTTGTTTTTTCTCTGGTACCGGGAACCAAACTCACGACCTTGCGCTGGCCAGGCAGGTGCTTTTCCGCTGAGCTAAATCCCCAGCCCCTAGACACAAAGGTCCTTAACAAGACGTGCCAAACAGAATGCAGCAAATCATCAAGAAGCTTATACATCAGACCAAGTATAATTTATCCCAGGGATGCAGGGATGGTTTGATATATGCAAATCAATAAATGTAGCACACCATAACATCAGAGCCAAGGACAAAAGCCACATGATCTCTAAAGATGCAGAAAAGGCACTTGACAAAGTCTAGCACTCATTCATGATAAAAACCCTACAGAAAACTGGAATAGATGGTCTTTATTTAATTTGAGAAAAGCCATCTATGACAAACCAACAGCCAACATCATATTAAATGTATAAAAACTGAAAGCTTTCACTCTAACATCAGGAACAAGTCATGGAGGTCCACTATCACCACTCTTATTCAATACAGTTCTGGAAACTTTAGTCAGAGCAATCAGATAAGAAAAAGAAATAGAAGAAATAAGATAGGAAAGGAGGAAATTAAATTATCGTTATTTGCAGATGATATGGTACTCTACATAGATAACTACAAAAACTCCACCAAAAGGCTTCTAGAATTAATGACAAAATTAAGTAGTATAGCTGGACACGAAGTTAACACTCAAATGTCAATGGCACTCCTGTACACAAATAACAAACTCACTGAGAGAGAATTAGGGAACCACATCTTTCACAATAGCATCAAAAACCAAAAACAAAAAACACAAAAAAACAGA